TCTACTTTACTCCTCGTTTTCTCAGAAGGGCATTATGTTAGTTTCTAACAGTAAATCTCACCTGCAGAGACGAACACGAAGACGCTGAAAAACAGCAAAGTTGAGCCGAGCGAGACACTGACAGCAGACATTTCTTGACTCCACCCTTCAGAGTCAGAGAGAGAGAGACGTTAGGCTGCGCACCGCTGGTCTGAAAGGCTCTTAGCACATAAACCGTACGTACTAATTTACTTACTCAGGTTTCATATGTGATCGTTTGTGTGCAGGACTTAGTTTTAGGGCTGAAAATGAATCTGAATAAATCCTGTTTTTCCCTCTCAAAGACTCACAAACTCCTGGCATCCCTGTTAGAAAGAAACCTAAATATTTGAGAGTAAATGGTTGAGAAAATTTAATTAAAAAAATCTGCCAACATTTTAAAATTTTGTCCCTGAAATAAAAAAAAAGGTAAGTGTGGAGAGAGATCTGTCCTTAAATGGACTTTGGTGAGGCTGATCTGTTTGTTCTGTTAAAGTTTGTTAAAGTTTGATATACTTTGATTTTATATGAAATAGAAAATTTAAAAAAGAAATGATTTAAAACTCATGTAAGTCAAAACATGATGGTGGACTAAAAGTTTACGTCTTTCAGTATTACAAAATAACTGTTATTTAAAAAAACAACACGCTTTTAATCTGATCGGTTGAGCTAAATTATGGCATAAATGTGATGATGAAATTAAAGAGCTGGCTGGAAAGTCGCCCAGTATTCATGAGAAAGCTCCTCAAGCGGACTGTTGCTTCTTTGGGACAGGGACGATGATGGACTCTTTGAAGCACGTGGGAACCACTGCTTGGGCCAAGGAGAAGTTGAAGATCTCCCAGTGCTAGCTGGTCAAAGCAGGCTCTCAGGACCCGACCCCCTTGCATCTGGTCCTGCTGCCTATAGCGTTCAGTCTCCTGAAAGCTTTCCTGCTCTGTGATGATAAAAGTGCTGTTGTCACTGGTGCACTCTGAGACACAGAACTGTACAGAGGGGTCTGACAGCCTGAATGAAGATACTGTCATTCTTTGTGTTGGACTGCCATCTTGTGTTGCAGTTAAGAATGGTTTTTAATCTTTAAATGCACCGTGCATTTTGTGCATGCTTACACAATTAGAGTGATGAAACTCCATAAAAAGATTTGAGACAAGTAATATTAACTGTATTTATCTTGTACTGATGCTTTTTCAGAAACCACATCTACTCCTCGTGCACCGTCACATAGCACATGAAACTTTCTCTTGCACGTAAATCTCTGGATGTTAACTGTCCCTTCTGACTTAGGATAATTGCAGTAACACAATCCAGTATTAATTGTGTGTAAATATTTATTAACAAGGTGAAGTTGAAGATGACACAGGGTGTAGGTGAGGAACTTTACATTATTTACTCCTTGCAGCACGAGTTAAATTAAGGAAAGTGGCAAACTTCACAGTTCAGGATCAGAGAGAAATATCTACACATCAACTACACCACCGGGCAAATGTTTTAGAAACATCGATGGATTTCCACTTATTTATTTATTTATTGCAGTTCAAGTCCAATGACTAGCTTGAAATGGTACAAAGGTGAGTATTGAACTTCCACAACAAAAAAGGTAAAGGTTACCCAAATACATTTCAGAATTGTACAAAAGGGCCTTTTTCAGGGAACAAAAAACGTGTTAAAATTTAAAGCTGTTCTGCTGTAATGGAGGTCGATCAAGCCGTGAAAGCTGGTGCTACTAACTCCTACAGGTGTTTCAACTTTTCTGGATTTCTTCCAACCCTCTGTCTGCATAAAAGTGCTGGAACACACTGTGGTACCACACCCATGAACATCGGTGAACAGTACTGCAGAAAGTAGTGTGCTGCTATAGAAATGGTGAGAAAAGGGCAATTAACAATGGAAGAGAGACAGACCATCATAACACTTGTAGAGTATGTTCATACAGAGAAATTGCCAAGAAGAGCACAGATTAATCACGGTCATAGCAAGCCTCAGTTTCAACTTTGGAGGGAAGACTTTGAGCTGCAGGATTGACAGGATGAGTTGCAGCAGGAAAGCCACATGTCAGGATAAGACACTGGATTGCCTGGGCCATGAAACACCACCATTAGACTACTGAAGACTGAAAGAAGGTTTTTGGACTGATGAATCAAAATTGTAAATCTTTGGTTCATGCAGGATCTTTGTACGACGTTGAGAAGATGAACAGATGTTTCCACAGTGTGTGGCATCAACCAGGTGATGGTCTGGGGCTGTTATGCTGGATCCAGGATTGGTGACTTGTGTAGAGTGAGACACACAGCAGTGGGAGCCGTTTTGTTTGTTTACTAAAAAAGCTGATCTCTGCATGAGGATCAGTTTGTTTGGTTCACAAGTTCTTACAAACAGCTTAACCTGAAGCTCCAACACAAAAACACTCACTGACTCTGAGATCAGTGCTCAGAAATTCATGTGTGTTTGTAACACAGTTTGACTTCAAATTTTTCAGAAGGAATTTGGGAGAAATATCTGTCATCTAAAAAGATTTAATTGCCTTTGGCAGGTGAAATTACAAGTACACAAGGCTGAACCCCAGTCTGTCTAGAAACATATGAACACAAAAACACACCCTGCATAGCCTTGATTATCTAATGTTATCCTTCAGCTTATTCTAAGGCTCAGTTCAGGACATCTTTATTCTTTAACCAGAGACTTATAGAAAACTATTATCAGTGTATGTGTGAGCATGCAGCAAAGACTCTCAAGCGCTCTGCGTCCACTCTTCAGTACTTCAGCCCAGTCTTAGCACCAGAAGAAGCTCATGATCCTCAAAACACAGAGTGCCAACTAGTTTTTCAAATAATAAAACAGCTTTATTGAATTATTTTATAAACAATTTATATTTTTTTAGACCCTAACAGCCGGAGTCTGAATCATCAGACATGTTAGACGTCTACAGTCGTCTGCTGGGTGTTCAGGAGAGTCCTGACTCATCATGATATCAGTCACAGACCAGCTCTTGGGGGGAAAGAGGCTGTTCATCCTCTGGATGATTATGAGTGTTAGAATGGCGTCGTTTTCTTTTGTAGATCAAAAATCCAACAACTAAAACAACAGCAGAAACACCAATGATCAGTGCAACAGATCCTCCTGTCGGACCTGCAGGTGAGAAACAGCTGTGAGGTGTCAGGTAGGCGACGAGTGAAGAACAGAATCTCTTTCTTTGTCAAATAGATTAGGTTAAAAAAAAGAATAAAGGGTGAATAAAGAATGACAATTTGGACACTCTGCATTTGAAGTATTTCAATACTGCCAGAGCTGATAAGAGGATTTATATTTATGGGGAAAATACCATTTAAATTTCCCCTAGGGTTAGGAGACATAAATGTCTTTGTTTCTGCTCTAACCAAACAATGCTGCTCTACAACTCTAGACTACCAGCCACAAAGACAACAGCTGGAAACATCTGTCTACCTCTGACATCCACCAGCTCATCCATACAACAAACACACATCAACAACCAGGAAGCAGCTTCACCTCTGATCACACACACACTCAACTCTACTCACTCACCTGGACGATCAGTAACTCTCAGACGTACGTAGCTGATATATTTCCATGAGCGTGTTCCTTCCATAAAGACACCACACATGTATGTTCCACTGTCAGCAGGCGTCAGATCGTTCACAATCATAGACATGTTTCCATCCGTCATCTGTATGTCCAGGAGATCCACCCAATTTTTAAAAGACCGATCCTGGTTGTCTCGTTCAAAATTCCCATTCTGGTACGAAAGAACATGTTCACCTTCCAGACGAGATCCCATCCATTTTACACCTGTGATGGAGTTGTTGTTGTTTGAACTTTGACATGGCAGAGTGACATTTTGTCCAGACTCAGCTTTGATGTTCATTTTCTGACCTGAAAGAGGAAACAACACAGAGCAGAGAGGTTAAAGGTCAAAGTACAATTATGATCAGAATGATTGACTTTAAATATTTTGTTTATTTCCTTTGACATTTGAGTTTTTAGTCATGTTGGATTTAATGAACCTCTGAACATCCAGCAGGTCACCAGTGACCCACTGAGGGGGAATTTTAGCCTCATGCTAAACATGCAAAGTGTCAGAAAGTACAAGATGTTAGCTTCCACAGAACAACAACATGTGCTGATAATAAGTGAACATAATGTGTGGCTCTCATTATAAGACATGGTGATGGGTGATCTGGCAGCAGAGAGAGGGACAAGAAATGGGCAAATAGTTCAAACTGTGAGTGCACTTTATACACATGTATGAAAAGAAGTAATTATTGCCTTTGTGTGTTTGACTGTCTGCTAACCAACTAGTATAGTATCATAGTATTGTAGCACTTTTTTTTCTAATATCTCTCTAATACATTTTTCTTCCTGAAGTCTATGTTTCACAAAAACTCTTGAGGCATGCTCAGTCATCCAGTTAACTAAGTCCCCAAAAGTTGATTCTGTTCATCTGGATGTTGGTTACCAGAGATTTCATCACTCATCTGAGACACTTGGATGAGTGACGAAATGTTTCTCCCACTGACAACATCCAGATGAACAGAATCAACTATTTGGGGTGTAACAAAAAGCTTTGTAGCTGCATACTGACTCCTGAAACTACAACACATTACACTTCTTTGTCTCTGTCACAGCTGGATTACAGATGTTAAGGCCACACAGATATGTGTCACCTTCATATGCACAAACATAATCAATATTAAAATTACTCTAAGAAGAGGCTTCAGGGAGACGTTTGCTACGTTGGACTGTAGGACCATCAGAAATGTGTGCAGTAACAAAACAGGCAGCACTGAAAGCAGCTCTAAGTGTTTGTGTTGTTCAATGATTTGTGCACAACATCATCCATCAGTCATCATGTGGACATTTTTCTGACAGACGCCACAACATTAACATCCACCAGCTCATCCATACAACAACAAACATCAACAACCAGGAAGCAGCTTCACCTCTGATCACACACACAACTCTACTCACTCACCTGGAGGAGCAACAATCAGATAGTTGTTAATGAGCAATTTCCACGAGCGTGTTTCCTCCATGAAGACACGGCACATGTATGTTCCACTATCAGCCGTGTTCGCATCCTTCAGAATCAAAGACACATCTCCATTCTTCATCTGTCTGTCCTGCAAAGTCAGACGGTTCTTAAAAGATGGATGCTGGTTGTCTGGATTTAAATGCCCGTCCTGGTACAAAAGGACATATTTATCTCTAAGGTCAACCCTGCTCCATTTTACACGTTTACTGTTGTTTGGAGCTCGACATGTCAGAGTGACTTTCTGTCCAGACTCAGCTGGGAGGATTTTGTGTTCTGAAAGAGAAAACAAACAGAGCAGAGAGATGTTAGTTGTTTATTTACTTTTGCATCTGAGTTTTAGGGCCTTGTGGTGGTATGGTAGTTATCACTTTTGCCTCTCGGAAAAGTCCTTGGTTCAAATCCATGATCTACTCTTTCTGTATTAGCCCTGTAACAGACCGGCATCCTGTCCAGGCTTCACCTGCTACTAACTCAGTATCTGTGATACAGTCCAGGCCCAATAACCTTGGCTTAGTTAAACAGAAGGGGATAGATTGAGGTTTTTTGCCATTTTCTCTTTCATTCATGTAAACCTGCTAGCATCCACCAGATCATCAGTGTAGCCTCATGCTAAACACAACAGCTAGCGGACCTCTGAAATCCACAGCAACTGGGCCTCGCCCACCATAATGGTTTGTAAGAAGGATGGGATATACTGTCTCTGCATTGTTGGCTATCCACTGGGCCCAGTAGCAGTTTTTGATACAGGCGACATGGGCGGTTGCCCAGGGCGGCAAAAAAAAGTTGCTCGGGCTCATGCTGGACTCATGCTGCCCTGACATCATGCCGGCGGATTTTGGGGATGGCATAGGCGTTTTCTATCGCCCATTTGCTGGGAGTAAGGGCACCCTCCATTGGCGAGGTGCGCCTACTGCAGATGCTTTTCTTTCTGAGCTCTGTAGACATCCAAGGTCCAAAACAAAATGCAGCAGGGACCTGTTTTCAGAGTCCAAATTGCACCGGACTGCCTGATGACTAGACGTTGACAAGCTGTGCTGGCTAAAAAAAAAAGAAGATAGAGCCTGAAGGACAGTTATCTCGGTGGCTGCAGAAGCTGACCTAATACACACGGGTCGATTGGTGTATTGCACACTGATGTTTATAGTCTTTCAGAAGACCCTGCCACCAGTCCTGCCCATGCAAACAGCAGGATCCCTCCAGGCACCAAGGGAGTACTAGTCATCAGGCAGTCTGGTGCAATTTGGACTCTGAAAACAGGTCCCTGCTGCATTTTGTTTTGGACCTTGGATGTCTACAGAGCTCAGAAAGAAAAAAAGCATCTGGACTTCTTTAGTTGGTTGAAGATGTTTCACCTCTCATCCAAGAAGATTCTTTAGCTCTAGAGTCAAATGGTGGAGAGTCCCAGATTTAAACCCTGTGAGAGAGTCACAGAAGAGGGAAAGTGGACCACCTAATGATCCTCTACGTAATCACATGAGCCAAGGTGTGAACACAGGTTTATCAGCCAAGGTTTCGGGTGAGCTCAACCTAACCCCACCCTATCATGTGATGCCTTAATGCTCACTCACATCCTGGGCCATCTGACCTCAGGAAATCACATGACAGGGTTGGGTTCGATTTGAGCTCACCCGAAACCCTGGCTAATTTTTATCAGCATGTTTTCAGTGAGATTCTCTGCTGGGACTGCTGAATGAAGTTTTCTGAATGATTTACAGAAGTTTACAGTTACCTTGCTCACTCACCTAGAGGAACACTGAGAGTGATGGTGATGTTTGTCCATGAACGTGTTTCTGCTATTTCAAAAAGACACTTGTATGTTCCAGAGTCAGCAGTGGTCACTTTCTTCAGAATCAAAGACACGTCTCCATCCTTCATCTGTCTGTCCCGCAGAGCCACTCGGTTCTTATATGATGGATGCTGGTTGTTTGGAACAAAATGCCCATCCTGGTACAAAAAGACATTTTTCGGTTCCAGGCCAGCTCTGCTCCACTCTACAGCTGAGATCCTATTTGTAATTTGACAGGGCAGAGTGACGTCCTGTCCAGACTCGGCTGTGATGTTCATCTGGTCTTAAAGAGAAAACAACACAGAGCAGAGAGGTTAAAGGTCAACATGCAATTATAAGAAGCATTGTTTACTTAAAATGTTCTTTATTTTCTTTGACATGTTTAGTCCCCATGTTAATGTCTTAAAGTCCAGCAGAGGCCTGTACTATAAAGCAGCTTTGGGTTGAGGGTTAACACTGGGTTTTCTGTTCTAGGAAGGTGGTTCGCGTCTTATAACATCCAGTGCATTGCCATGGTAACTTTCGCTATCTTAAGTAGCTAGCTTAAATTATGCTTTGAACCTGCCCCTGATCTGATCTGCTCCTGAACCGGATTAGATCCAGATTGAAACATCAATCAGGTTCCACAGAACAAAAACATGTGCTAATAATAATTGAACATAAAGCAGTCCTCTCATTATAACACACTGTAAGTTTTGCATTGTGCTCTACAACTCGAGACTTCCCGCCACAAAGACAACAGCTGGTGGTTGTGTGTCAAACCCAGACATCCACCAGAGGCCTTTACTTCATCTCTCTGCAGGGAGAGGCTAATGTTTTCAGTAGCCTCTAAAGTCTTTGTGTTTCCCTAATAAGCATCAGAAGCAAATAATATATATATATGTACAACTTTCCCACATTTTGTCACATTACAGCCACAAACATGACTCAATTTTATTGGAATTCCACGTGAAAGACCAACACAAAGTGGTGTACACGTGAGAAGTGGAATGAAAATCATACATGAGTCAAAAACATTTTAGATAGATAGATAGATAGATAGATAGATAGAGAGATAGAGAGATAGATAGATAGATAGATAGATAGATAGATAGATAGATAGATAGATAGATAGATAGATAGATAGATAGATAGATGTGTGTATACTTGTTCAAGCCACTGCATGCATACAGAACAGGCCTGTGTTTGAATTCAGTTTTAATATTCAATCTTTATTCGCAAATGAAAAAATGGAAATGGAAGTGTTGCAGGAACTGCCTTAACTCATATGTGATGAAAGCTCAGTGGTTTGTGGTGTGTGCGTGAGCGTAGGCAACGTTTTCTTTACAGCATGTTTTCAGTGTCGAATAGATTATCTGCTGGGAGAATACAGAAAGCTGCACCTTAATAAACCAATGAATGAAACACAAACTCCATGCCAGATTTACAGAAAAATCAGAGTTACTCACTCACCTGGAGAAACTTTCAGATTGATGGTGACGTATTTCCATGAGCCTGTTTCTGCTATTTTAACACGACACTTGTATGTTCCAGAGTCAGCAGTGGTCACTTTCTTCAGAATCAAAGACGCGTCTCCACCCTTCATCCCTCTGAGAGCCACTCGGTTCTTATATGATGGATGCTGGTTGTTTGGAACAAAACGCCCATCCTGGTACAAAAAGACGTTTTTCGGTTCCAGGCCAGCTCTGCTCCACTCTACAGCTGTGATGTTATTTGTAACTCGACAGGGCAGAGTGACATCCTGTCCAGACACAGCTATGATGTTTATCTGGACTAGAAGAGGAAACAACACAGGGCGGGGAGGTTAACGGTCATCGTACAATTATGAGCAGAATTATTGACCTTTTGTTTAATTGTCGTTTATTTCTCCCCTGTGAATTGAACACACTCGCATAAGACGAGGACTTTCAGAATAAAACAGGAAACTAACAGACAGGGGACCAGACAAAACACTGAACTGAACAGACAGACTCACGAGCAGACACAGTGACACCATGGACAGACAGAGGGAACACAGGCAGGTATAAAACAAAACTCTAACACACAGCACACCTACACACAAGACATAACAGAATAAACAAGAACACAGAATAATATAAAGAGTCCTCAGACTCGGGACCATGACAGAAGGTGGTTTGCCTCTTTCAACAGTGCACTGCCATGGTAACTAGTGCTAACGTTTAACTAGCTAACTTCACTTATGCTGTGAAGATAATCTTATCATCATAATAACATAATCTGCTTTGGATCAGATTAAGATCCAGATTAGAGATCATCAGGTTTGAAACATCTATGGACCATTCAGTTCTCCAGAAAATAAATAGCATAACTACTCCTGGATGATCCCTCAGTCCTCTCCGTGCAAAGAATGGGAGGGTCTAATTTTGTTTTGTTTGTTTGTAATTGGGTCTAATGTCTTTGTTTCCCTGATGAGCATCAGTAATAAATAATAAATAATGTCAAATTTTAGATTCAACTTTATCCTGTGATTTTCTATTTTTATATTCTGTTAGAGGCAAAGACATTTTAAAACAGTTGTAGTGATCGAAAACAAAGTACCTGCACTTTGCTTGTCGAGCTCATATTAAATTTTGACAAAGACAAAGTTTGAATTCAGGTTTTGTATTTAATCTTAAACAGCACAGAGTCAGTATTTAATCAATGTCTTTTTATCCCCTGACTGATTATCCTCACGTCCAATGTCAGTTTGAATAAACTCAGCATACCCTGGATGTTTATATCACTTCCTAGAACAGGGCCCAGGTCACTAAGGACCATCTCTGGGTAAATTTGTGCCTCATGCTATATTCGCAAAGAGTCAGAAACTACAACCTGTTAGCTTCAATAGAACAAAATCATGTGCTGTCAACCTCTGACATCCACCAGCTCATCCATACAGCAAACAAACATCAACAACCAGGAAGCAGCTTCACCTCTGATCACACACTCGACTCTACTCACTCACCTGGAGGATCAACTCTCAGGTTGATGATGGTAAACTTCCATGAGCCTGTTTCTCTCAAAAAGACACGACACTTGTATGTTCCAGAGTCAGCAGTGGTCGCTTTCTTCAGGATCAAAGACACGTCTCCATCCTTCATCCCTCTGAGAGCCACTCTGGTCTTATATGATGGATGCTGGTTGTTTGGAACAAAACGCCCATCTTGGTACAAAAAGACATTTTTCTGTCCCAGGCCCGCTCTGCTCCACTCTACAGCTGTGATGTTATTTGTGACTCAACATGGCAGAGTGACGTCCTGTCCAGACTCGGTTGTGATGTTTATCTGGACTGAAAGAAAAAACAACACAGAGCAGAGAGGTTAAAGGTCAACATACAATTATGAGCAGCATTACTTTAAATATGTTGTTTACTTTAAGTAATTTTAACATCTCAACATCCATCAGTGTCCTGTACTATAAAGCAGCATTTGGGTTCATTGTTAACATTGGGTTTTCAGTGCTAAGAAAGTGGTTCGCATCTAATATGAGTGTATCACCATGGTAACTTATGCTAACTTTTAACTAGCTAGAATAATTGTTACCTCACCAGATCCATGGCCCCGATCCATAGTAAGGAGCGCGCTGTCAAGTGACGCACTTCAAGGACACTTTCCCGTCTCAAATCTCTGATTTTCTGCATTATTCATTGGCTTATTACCCACCAGTCTACTGTTGTGTACACCGCTCTTGGCCGCTGTCTTTTATCTTTAAGGTTATCTGCTATAAAAAGCCAGGCCAGGAAAACCTCATTCATGTTTTTCTGTGTTTTATTCTCAGTTACTTTGACACAAAGGCATCTGCTGTGATGTTCCCACCTCTGATGAAGTCTCACATGTATCAGTGCTGATAAATGATCAGAATTATAATATTTCTGACTGCCTGAGGCAAAAATGAATCGAATCAAAACCTTGTGAATCAGAATCAGAATGGATTATAGAAATCAGTGGTGATACCCAGTCCAAGTGAGTAGCCTAGGCCTGACAGAAGTGGATGTAGCTGTGGGTAATAAGAACAGATGAAAAGAACTATTGATAACTTTTTGGTTAAGGCCTGGTCCGTCTAAAATTCATAACCAGTGCTCTGACACAGAGCCATTAACCTCTGAACGCTAGATAAAGCACAGTGTATCCAGAAAACACACCAGAAGCCGTGATAAATGCACTGCCCAAGTGTCCCCTCCCCCATTGCCTTTCAGCGGCATGCAACAGCAAACAGGTCGTCAGAGGAGTAGTGATGTTTCAGTTGCGAACGAAACAGCTCTTAGAGCCGGATCTTTGAAGTGAACGACGCAAGCCGGGTTTTTTGTTGTTTTTTCCTCACCCTCTCGCACTTTTTTTTCTGCTTCACTCTGCACGCGAGCCTTGTGCTTATGGATTCAGAAAGTTTATTCATGCAGGCCCATATGACAGAGAATATGCATCTTCTTTTTGTTTTCATATTTTAACTTCATATTTAATTGCGTTGTGGTTTGCAGTGTTTTGTATTGTTTCACTTTAAACTGGTTTAAAAGGAAAAAGCTGAAAATTTATATGAGTGCTTGTGTATAAATACACAAACAACACACATATGCTTTCAATTGTGTAATTTAAGTGGTCTGGGCAGCTCTGTTTTGGAAGTTCAGTTGACGCTAGAAATGTGTTTTGGAGTTTGCACGTGCTTTGTCTATATTTATACATAAACATATATAAATAAAACCACGGTATTTTTTTACGTTAGTAATTCCTTTTGTGCATAATTTTATATTTTTGTTAATAATGAATTAATTAAAGCAACAAAACCAACTGAATAGACGGTTGGGAGTCGGAAGAGTCGGCTCTTTTTAGTGAGTCGAGCCAAAAGAGCCGGTTCTCTAAAAAGAGTTGGAAATCCCATCACTACAGAGGAGGCCGATATCATGATTAAGTTTAATATTGTCTACAATATTGCCAAAGAATTTCAAAGCACTTTAAGCACAAAATTGTTAATTAATCATTTACAAGTCAACACTGTCTGTATGGACATCAAATTCCCCCCCAAAGAAGTGCACATGTAAAACTGCGGTGTTTGTGTTTCCCGTTATGCCGTTTTTCTTCGGTAGCTACTCGTAATCCCTTTCCCCCACTCCCTTCCTCTCTCTCTCTCTCACACACACACACACACACACACACACACACACACACACACACAGCGAGGGGGCGTCCCGCACATCCTCCCCACAGCCCGGAATACATTTCCCTCAAGGGAAGGGCATAACATTGTGAACTGTGAACCTAGCCAACTTCTGCTTCCACAGAACAACAACACGTGCTCGTGAAACGTGAACATGTGTGAGAGAAAGCAGCCTCTCATTATAAGACACTGTGAGTCTCTGCATGCTGCCTTTATGGAGCTACAGCTGTTTGTATACACTGAATAAAAAGCTTTGTAGCTGCATCCTGACTCCTGACACTACAACACATCACACTGACACACACTGTTAAGGTTCAAAAATTGAGGAAGGAGAGTACAAACAACCATTGGTCCAGAAGCTCTTGGTCAAACAATTGATTTTTAATGAATACACATGTGGGAAGAACACTCTGTACGCAGACAGCAAGTGGTCTTCGACTTAATCAAAGCATACACAGATTTTTATACTGTCAGGGCTTAAATTTAATGACGCCCCTTTAACGTCACAGACAGGATATAGACATACGTCAGATCAAAACCACAATGACCTTTTAACACAGTTTTTAAAAGAGCCTCGTCTTCCATCTTCATAACAGGTGCATCCTGTCACTGCCGGATGCTCGCTTGTCATCTTGACACCTCAGCAGCAGTTCTGCGACAAACTGCTCTTTTGCAACATCAGCAAAACATAATTAAACTTTCCCCTATAAATGATTCTCTCTAACTGAGTGTGTGTGTGTCTGTGTCTGTGTGCTAACCACAATTGCACCCTGTTTCACCTCGGGGACTAGCTCCTGACCTCTAACCAGACAGAGAGACAGATATAAGTGTTTTGTAAGCCTGTATTGCCATTTCCTTCTATGTTCTAGTTTTCCCTCAACATGTATCACCTGAACAGTCGCGTCAGTGAAGCTTCAAACCTTTAAAGAACCTGAACATCAACTCAAATAAGCACAGATATGCAATGTATACAAAATAGTTATAACTGCATCTGAAATACAAGGTTAACATCATCATTGTATGCATAAACATCTTAAGGCCTTCTTAAAGCTAGCTGTTACATTGTTAAAGCCTCGTCTTAGCCTGCTGCTCAAAATAACTTCCTGCTTTCACTTCTGCAATTTCTCTGCAAGCCTTGTTTCCTGTCAGCCTGTGACTTTTAGCCTTTCTAAAAGACCCACTGTTTAAACCTCTAAATGCAATATAAACTCCAGATTATATTTTTAATGCAATGGTACTGTTGATAATTATTTAACAATAGCAGTAAAATAATTTCCCTGCTCCACAACACATTACACTTCTTAGTTTCTGTCACAGCTGGATTACAGATGTTAACTCAGCCTCGTTTCGTCTTCGTCTACTTTACTTATCGTTTTCTCAGAAGGGCATCATCTAACAGTAAATCTCACCTGCAGAGACGACCACGAAGACGCTGAAAAACAGCAAAGTTGAGCCGAGCGAGACACTGACAGCAGACATTTCTTAACTCCAAACTTCAGAGTCAGAGAGTGAGAGTGATGTGACGTCAGGCTGGCTGGACCCAAGCCCACCAACTCTGGACAAACAAACGTTACGTAGTAATTTACGTCCTCAGGTTGTGATGGTTTGAGCAGCTGTTTGTGACGAATCTGACTAAATCAGTTTTCCCCCTTTAAAGACTCTAAATTATTGGCATATTTGTTATAGAGAAACTTATATTTGGGAGTAAATGTATGCAAAAATGTAATTTAAAAAAAAATCTGTTTGTGTTTCCTTATTGGCAGATAAAGTTTGATTTGGAAAAATTAACAAAATATATTTTTTAAATCTTGTAATGCACAAAAGAAAAATGATGGTGGACTAAAAGCTTTACGTTTCTTAGTGTTAAATAATGTTACTTTTAAAAAACAGCCACCTTTAATCTGATCAGTTGAGCAACATTATTGCATAAATGTGACGAGGAAATGAAAGTCGCCCAGTTTTCATGAGAAAGCTCTTCTGGCTCAGTTCCAATGTGAGAGTGTTCACACTCAGCCTGTGAGGGATCAGGGCTGTCACATGCAGACATGCTGAGGCCTTTACGTCTGCATTTATGATGAATTTGTCTAATGAGAATGACCAAACTTAGATCATAAACCATGAGGAGACACGTGGTAGTTCAGATATTGAAGAAACTCTCTTTATCTTTATTCAGACCTTTGTTCTGCTCTACACTCTGCTGCTCCTCTTTCTCTGTGTTCATGACATACTTACACCAGAAGCTCGGTGGGAACAAAAACAGGGAAATAAATCTATTTGTAGTGAGGATTGTTAAGAAAAGAGTTGGATGTTTTTCTTTCTTTCTTTTTACAGCCTCACTTCCTGCCTGTGCAGTGTGCAGGTCAGATGGAGTCAAGCAAGCCAACAAATAACATTTTGTGTTGAAAGCAGAAAAACTAGAGATCAGAGTTACAGCTGAATATTTTCTACCTGCTTTGTTTTCATGCTCAAAGCCACGGATGCTGTCTGTTGTTGCACTCTCTCTCTGTCTTTCTGCTCTGAGTCAATGGAGCTCACCCAGCAGTCTGAGTAATGACAGAAACCATTAGAATATATTGATGCCATTACACTTTGGATCTCAGCCTTTAAGTGGATGGATGGACTACACTGATCTTCATTCACAGAAAACATTCACAGTACCTCTCACACAGATAACCATTCTTACACTCTTAAATGCTGTTGATGGAGGAGAAGAAACCGTCCACAGCTTTCAGTCTCCACATTTGAAGCTCTGCAGGAAACCCTGACAGCAGCTTTTTAGCTCCAAAGCAGGTTTAGCTCTGGTGCAGAGTGTTGGTGACTCTGCCCGTGGACACAGTTATTTCTGCAGGTGACCTTGTTACAGGTGCATTTGGAGGAGACTCAAAGCTTTGTGGCAGGGAGTTTACTGCAGACTGCAGCATGTTTAATAGCAAGCATGATGTGAGCCTGATGTGGCTGATAGCTGCTTCTAGCAGTCTTCATGTATGTGGAATGAGAGGGGAGATGTTATCAGGACCAGTTGCTGATTGGACGTCTCAAAGCTGTGAGCGCAGCGCTGAAACTTTGTCCTGTAGCTCTTCACTCAGTCCTCACCCTGAGTGTTCAGAGCCCAGCCCCACATATTCCTGCTCCTCAGGAATTCTGGGATTTGGATGAAACACAGCTAAACTGACCTGAAGCTAAGGGGGAGGAGCCACAATACAAGCTGCATCCAGCCAATGGGTGCACTGTTGCCCCTGAGCCCATGGATGTGCAGAGGGTCACATGTTTAGTCCCATTTGTAGAAATGTGTCCATGATGAAGACAAATGCAGTCACACAGCTCTGCAACAGCACAAATCACTTTGATGGAGTTTGTTTGTGCTGCTCTCAGATCTGTACAACACTGACATGTGTGTCAACATGCTGCAGACTCACAAAGATGTGCCGTGTTAGCTTCATGTGTCCATCTATCACAAACATGCTGCTTCTTCTAACAGGAAGGACTCCTCAGCCGTGTCCACAGCAAAGTAGAATCAAGGCTTTAACCAGGCTTTTATTGTGAAACACTGAACATGTGGAAAAGTCAGCCTGAAAGTCAGAGAGAGAGTGGGCAACGATCCCACAGGAAAAGAATGAAAGAGAGAAGACACATCCAGGGAGGAGAGAGCTGGAAGCAACATGTAGCAGCTGATGAAGATGGTCAGGCGGGTGGGCTGTGCACACAGAGGACTTTATGATCTGGTTCTCAGCTTCACCTCTCCATCGCCCTCCCCACGGCTACAGTACAGGTGAGCTGACACATCCATCAGTGGAGGCTGTGGTGGAGCAGCAGCTGAAGCAGGTTCATTCGTGTTGATGGTTTACAGGTTTCCTTGGTCAAAGGTCACTCAGACTTTTGACCAAGGAAACCTTTGAGATTCAGCTCTGTGATTTCACCTTCTACTGATGGAGTGTAGACCACATGGGGACAGGAAGAGACTGAACAGGGTGATCCGAAGGGCCAGCTCTGTTCTAGGATGCCCTCTAGACCCAGTGGAGGTGGTGAGTGACAGGAGAATGGCGGCTAAGCTGTCATCCCTGTTGGACAACGTCTCCCACCCCATGCAGCAGACTGTGACAGCACTGAGCAGCTCCTTCAGTGGGAGACTGCGGCACCCACGGTGTGGGACGGAGAGATTTCGCAGGTCTTTCCTCCCCACTGCTGTCAGACTCCACAACAAAGACTTTAACTGAACAAACACACACATCCACACATATGCAATAACACTAAGTGCAATAATCTTTTCTGGCATCGTTGTATTTTTACTCAGTTGTATATAGCATTTGTATTCTATTTTATCTTATTGTATATTTTTATTCTATTTTATTCTACTGTATATAGTATTTTATTTTATTCTATTCTGTACAGCTGTGTACTGTATTTATTCTTATTGTATTCTAATTTTTGCGTCATAACTTTTGCACTGTCCACTTCCTGCTGTGACAAAACAAATTTCCCACGTGTGGGACTAATAAAGGTTATCTTATCTCACATCACCTTCACAGAGGACGACCACACAGTCGCCCGTGTGCAGGCCGATGAGTTCAGTAGCCAGCGACTGAAGATGTTAGCGTAGCTTACCAGTGACAGGAGCCAGTGGTTTTTCCCAGCTGATCATGATGGATGCATCTCCCACTTCCTCCACTTCTTGCTCCTTGGGATCATCAGCTTCTATGAAACAAACGTTGATGCATGACACAAACTGTATTTCAGTCTGGCTGCACTTATTTTTAAAATTAAGATGACGAGAAATAAAACCAGAAATGGAGTCAGAACATAGAGTACGAGTGTTCGCACCTGTTGTTTGTCAAGTAGTAAGAATGAGGTTGTCCTCGCCTCCCTCAGTAACCTCGCAGACATTAACAGTGTACCAGGGAGAAGCTCACTAATGTTCACAGAGGTAGATGTGCAACAAATCTGTGATGAGCAGGAGAAGTTGTAATCAGGCAAGATTTCAACACACAACACTTTTGAACTGAACTTGTAAATGTCTGAATCTGCCCCTGCCAAGAACAACAGGTGCTCAACGAGCCCGTACTCCACTCTGAAACCTGAAACTGTGTCCAAGGCTGCTGGAGGTCATATCGGTCACAGACTACAGGACAAACAGAGAAGGTCAGAGATTAGTTACTCAGGACAGTCTCATACATGCATTCACTGAGGTGACTCACCCAGCCTCTCTTAACTTGGTGGCGCTGTCACTTGGTGTTCGCTCGCTCTGTGGTAGAGTATCACTTCCTGTTCCTGCTCAAACACAGTGGTGTTTCTGAGTAGCTTATTTGCTTAGCGATTTAATTAACAACTTTTAAATACATTCTTCTTTCATAGTATAATCTTCACGTGCTTCCTCCGAAGCACACTTTCTGTGTACTCACTACCTAATTTATAGCCAAAGTATTCACTCACTGTCTCTGTACTGTCTCGCTAGCTTAGCTTAGCTCGTAGCCGACTCATTAGCACCATGGCTACTTCACCTGTCCCTCCTACACTTTCCTGCTCATTATGTCAGATGTTTAGTTACTCCTCGGCCTCCTTTAGCAGTAATGATATCTGTGACAAATGTAGCATATTTGCAGCGCTGGAGGCCAGGATTACTGAATTGGAGACTCGGCTTCGCACCCTTCATTCACCCGCAGCTAGCCAGGCCCCTGTAGCTGGTGCAGCCGAAAATAGCGTAGGCCCCGCTAGCTGTTCCCCGGCAGGTCCCAAGCAGCTGGGGAATCAGGGCGGCTGGGTCACGGTGAGGAGGAAGCATAGTCCTAAACAGAAGCCCCAGGTACACCACCAACCCGTTCATGTGTCTAACCGTTTTTCCCCACTCGGCGACACACCCGCCGGGGGTCAAACTCTGGTAATTGGCGATTCTGTTCTCAGACATGTGAAGCTAGAGACACCGGCAACCATAGTCAATTGTCTTCCAGGGGCCAGAGCAGGCGACATTGAAGGAAATTTAAAACTGCTGGCTAAGGGTAAACGTAAATTCAGTAAAATCATAATTCACGTCGGCAGTAATGACACCCGGTTACGCCAATCGGAGGTCACTAAAATCAATATTGAATCGGTGTGTAACTTTGCCAAAACAATGTCGGACTCTGTAGTTTTCTCTGGTCCCCTCCCCAATCAATCAGACCAGGAGTGACATGTTTAGCCGCATGTTCTCCTTAAATTGCTGGCTGTCTGAGTGGTGTCCCAGAAACAATGTGGGCTTCATAGATAATTGGCAAACCTTCTGGAGGAAACCTGGTCTTGTTAGGAGAGATGGCATCCATCCCACTTTGGATGGAGCAGCTCTCATTTCTAGAAATATGGACAAATTTATTAAACCCCCCAAAATATGACTATCCAGAGTTGGGACCAGGAAGCAGAGTTGCAGTCTTACACGCTTCTCTGCAGCTTCTCTCCTCCTGCTACCCCCCCAAAAACCCATCTCCATAGAGACTGTGTCAGCTTCCAAAAAGACAAAAAACAAACTAAAAACCAGCAACAAACAACTTAAACATAAACAATCACAAAGAAAGAACAATACAGTATCCACATCTGAACCAAAGAGTAAAACAGTGAAATGTGGATTATTAAATATTAGGTCTCTCTCCTCCAAGTCTCTGTTAGTACATGACTTAATAATTGATCAACAAATTGATTTACTCTGCCTTACAGAAACCTGGTTGCAGCAGGATGATTATGTTAGTTTAAATGAATCAACACCCCCGAGCCATTCTAACTACCAGAAATCTCGAAGCACAGGCCGAGGGGGCGGTGTGGCAGCAATTTTTCACACCAGCCTATTAATTAATGAAAGACCAAGACAGACTTTTAATTCATTTGAAAGCCTGATGCTTAACATTGTCCACCCCAGCTGTGAAACTCAGAAACCAGTCTTACTTGTTATCATCTATCGTCCACCTGGGCCTTACACAGAGTTTCTGTCTGATTTCTCAGACTTTATATCTAATTTAGTTCTGAGCTCAGATAAAATAATTATTGTGGGTGATTTTAACATCCATGTAGATGCTAAAAATGACAGCCTCAACATGGCATTTAATCTGTTATTAGACTCAATTGGTTTCTCTCAAAATGTAAAAGAACCCACCCACCACTTTAATCACACTCTAGATCTTGTTCTAACATATGGCATCGAACCTGAACATTTAACAGTGTTTCCTGAAAACCCTCTCCTGTCTGATCATTTCCTGATAACATTTACATTTACAATAATTGATTACACAGCGGTGGTGAGTAGACTTTATCAAAGTAGATGTCTTTCTGAAAGCACTGTAACTAAGTTTAAGAATATAATCCACCCACTGTTATCATCTCCAATGCCCTGTACCAACACAGAGCAAAGCAGCTATCTGAACGCTACCCCAACAGAGGTCGATTATCTTGTTAATAATTTCACCTCCTCACTACGTACGACTCTGGATACTGTAGCTCCTGTGAAAACTAAGGCCTCAAATCAGAAGTACCTGACTCCGTGGTATAATTCTGAAACACGTACCCTAAAGCAGATGACTCGTAATCTGGAGAGGAAATGGCGTGTCACAAATCTAGAGGATCATCATTTAGCCTGGAGAAATAGTTTGCTGCTTTATAAGAAAGCCCTCCGCAAAGCCAGAACATCTTACTATTCATCACTGATTGAAGAAAATAAGAACAACCCTAGGTTTCTCTTCAGCACTGTAGCCAGGCTGACAAAAAGTCAGAGCTCTTTTGAGCCAACCATCCCTTTAACGTTAACTAGTAATGACTTCATGAACTTCTTCACAAATAAAATTTTTATCATTAGAGAAAAATTACCAATAATCATCCCACAGATGTAATATTATCTACAGCTACTCTTAGTACCATTGATATTAAGTTAGACTCTTTTTCTCCAATTGATCTTTCTGAGTTAACTTCAATAATTACTTCCTCCAAACCATCAACGTGTCTTTTAGACCCCATTCCTACAAAACTGCTCAAAGAAGTCCTGCCATTAATTAATTCTTCGATCTTAAATATGATCAACCTATCTCTAATAATCGGCTATGTACCACAGGCCTTCAAGGTGGCTGTAGTTAAACCTTTACTCAAAAAGCCAGCTCTAGACCCAGCAGTCTTAGCTAATTATAGGCCAATCTCCAACCTTCCTTTCATATCAAAATCCTTGAAAGAGTAGTTGTCAAACAGCTAACAGATCATCTGCAGAGGAATGGTTTATTTGAAGAGTTTCAGTCAGGTTTCAGAGCTCAGCACAGCACAGAAACAGCTTTAGTGAAGGTTACAAATGATCTTCTTATGGCCTCTGACAGTGGACTCATCTCTGTGCTTGTCCTGCTAGACCTCAGTGCAGCGTTCGATACTGTCGACCATAATATCCTATTAGAGCGATTAGAACATGCTGTAGGTATTACAGGTACTGTGCTGCAGTGGTTTGTATCATATCTATCTAATAGACTCCAATTCGTGCATGTAAATGGAGAGTCCTCTTCACACACTGAGGTTAATTATGGAGTTCCACAGGGTTCAGTGCTAGGACCAATTCTGTTTACATTATACATGCTTCCCTTAGGCAGCATCATTAGAAGACATAGCATACATTTTCACTGCTATGCAGATGACACCCAGCTCTATCTGTCCATGAAGCCAGATAACACACACCAATTAGTTAAACTGCAGGAATGTCTTAAAGACATAAAGACCTGGATGGCCGCTAACTTTCTGCTTCTTAATTCAGATAAAACTGAGGTTATTGTACTCGGCCCTGAAAATCTTAGAAATATGGTATCTAATCAGATTCTTACTCTGGATGGCATTACCTTGGCCTCCAGTAACGCGGTGAGGAACCTTGGAGTCATTTTTGACCAGGACATGTCCTTCAACGCACATATTAAACAAATATGTAAGACTGCTTTCTTCCATTTGCGCAACATCTCTAAAATTAGAAATATCCTGTCTCAGAGTGATGCTGAAAAACTAGTTGCATTTATTACTTCTAGGCTGGACTACTGTAATTCATTATTATCAGGATGTCCAAAAAACTCGCTGAAAAGCCTTCAGCTGATCCAAAATGCTGCAGCAAGAGTCCTGACAGGGACTAGAAAGAGAGAGCATATTTCTCCTGTTTTGGCTTCCCTTCATTGGCTTCCTGTTAAATCCAGAATTGAATTCAAAATCCTGCTCCTCACATACAAGGTCTTAAATAATCAGGCCCCATCTTATCTTAATGACCTTGTAGTACCATATCACCCTATTAGAGCGCTCCGCTCTCGCTCTGCAGGCCTACTTGTTGTTCCTAGAGTATTTAAAAGTAGAATGGGAGGGAGAGCCTTCAGTTTTCAGGCCCCTCTTCTGTGGAACCAGCTTCCAGTTTGGATTCGGGAGACAGACACTATCTCTACTTTTAAGATTAGGCTTAAAACTTTCCTTTTTTCTAAAGCATATAGTTAGGGCTGGACCAGGTGACCCTGAATCCTCCCTTTGTTATGCTGCAATAGATGTAGGCTGCCGGGGGATTCCCATGATGCATTGAGTTTTTCCTTTCCAGTCACCTTTCTCACTCACTATGTATTAATAGACCTCTCTGCATTGAATCATATCTGTTATTAACCTCTGTCTCTCTTCCACAGCATGTCTTTATCCTGTCTTCCTTCTCTCACCCCAACCGGTCGCAGCAGATGGCCGCCCCTCCCTGAGCCTGGTTCTGCCGGAGGTTTCTTCCTGTTAAAAGGGAGTTTTTCCTTCCCACTGTCGCCAAAGTGCTTGCTCATAGGGGGTCATATGATTGTTGGGTTTTTCTCTGTATCTATGAAGCGCCTTGAGGCGACTTTTGTTGTGATTTGGCGCTATATAAATAAAATTGAATTGAATTGAATTGAACTTACACGATCCATAAGTGGTGGTGAAATCAAAATTCATAACAGAGATGGTGTAGGAGTTTAGATGGCCAGAAACTGCCACCTCTCTCCTCGGGCTGTGAGATAATTGGCTGAGAGAGAGTTTACAGGCTGAAATTATTACAAATGAAAAAAAGACATTAAGTTTAGCCCAATCATGGAAGAAGAGGAAACAAATCTAAAAAAACAAACCCTATCAGCTCTCCATTTAAGGATGTACTGGGTGATGTGTGCAGACGAGTGGGCGTTCCACTGAATAGGGAGTCTGGTTGGCTTCCTGATTCTGTGATGATCACCTGGATGGGACGGGGACCACCTGAGACAGAGACACAGGAGTAGAGACACCTGCTTTACCACTGAGGAGAACAGTCACATCGGTTCTCCAGAGTGGGAAATCATTTTGTTAAGCCAGTAGCTTTACATAACCCAGTTTAACAGTGAGTGGGTGTGTGGGAGGATTTTCCTGAACAGAGCAGAGAAAAAGGTGAGATCCCAGCACAGTTTCCACCGTAGTTTACGATTTTTCCTGTTTCTCAGAAAGAAGCTAACAAAGTGCAAAAACACTTTAAAAACTGACACCAGTATAAAGCTTGTAGTTCTCTTACAGTGTAATCTGACATATAAAACTTATTCTTCCACCATGAACAGCTTGTGTTGCTATATAGTCTCTTTTCCATCCAAGAAACATGTTTCACTGCAAAATTAAGCATCAAACTTCACTATATTCACCCAAACAGTGAGACTGCTGTTTGTAGATTACAGCTCAGCGGTGAAACACAACAGTGCTCGGCAGACTGTTCACAAAGCTGAGGACAAATTAAAGAGAATCAGAAACGTTTAAAGCAGCAGATCAACGGTAAAATACACACCTGCCAAGAACAGGCTGCAAGTGTCACACACTGATGTGGCAGTGATATCAGACGCAAACATTACCGTGTACATCATTACACGCTGCCTACAAACACTCAGTTTACCTGCACAGGTCCTGTTACAGCTGCACTTTGAATCTCAAGTCAGAATTATTTCACAATCAGAATACTTTATTAATCCCTGAGGAGATTATGCGAGGGAAATGGGGTTAAAGGGGGAGACTGCTGCAGACTTTGGGAGAGCAGCAATAGCTGTAGCTTGTTTGATGTACTACAGCACCACCATGTGTTAGAAATGAGTCATGGCAAAAAGCAGACTTCAAGGTTGTCTGAGGTGCAGTTTGACCTGAACTTTACAAACAGAGAACGACTTCACACAAATCTCTGGATCTCCTGATCAGACACGGTGCAGGCTTCACCTTCAGGTGTACAGTCTGTGTAGGACGGGGCTCCACGAGTTACAACAACAAAGGATGTACCACTAAAAGCATGCACTGTGTATCCATGTGTCTTCAGTAGGGTGGATTTCATATCAACACTGTGTGCACACCTCACTTTGTAGTTCTTCTAGTGTGAATTTATGAATAAAAGTGGAAAAAGTTCAACAAACGCAGTCAGATTTACCTCCAGCCTGCATCTGCACCCCGGGGGTCATGTGGATGAACTCTGGCCTCTCTGTGAGCTTGGAGCCACAGATAAACCCCATCACAGAGTCCGAGTGCTCCTCTGCCATTTGCACCTGTGAAACACAAAACAGCTGTAAGCTGAAAAGAACACAAAGCACATGTAAACAAACTGAGAACAAGTCCCACACAGTTGTGCTCACCGCAGCCTTTGTGTATTCACCAGCAGCCAGGGTTCCCTGGCAGCTCATCTGAGCTATGAGCAAACAGCCTCGGCCCAGAGGCTTTCCTACAGCGCTCAGACCTTTCACCACTCCCGGCCCCGGCACTGCGTGGGCATTCACTATGTGGGACCAGGAGGAAATCTGGTACAAACCACCTGGAGAAAAGACAGAAGATCACAGCGTTCAAATACTTTGGATATAAACAAAATGATTTTTAAGTTATCCTGAATTTACACGACAAAAAGAAAGTGTGAAATCGTCTCACCATCATACTGACGCTTGACTGTGTTCCCGATGTCAGCAAACTTGTGATCTTCAAAGATGAGGAAGTTGTGTTTCTCTGCTAAGGCTTGCATGTTCTGAATGAAGGCTGATGTGTAGTCCTGTAACACATATGGAAAAAACCATCAGCTTGTTTGTTACATGTACAGACTGAAGGTTTGAGTTGACCTGCCATCTTCAGAAGTTTCCTGATGACTCTGCGGTGGTTGGATGCATCACCAGGGATGATGAGACAGAGTACCGGGCTGTGGTCGACTCCTTTGTCACGTGGTGTGAGCAGAATCATCTGCAGCTCAACGTGGCAAAGACCAAGGAACTGATCGTGTACTTCAGGAAGACCAGGAAACACTTGACCCCTGTTTCAATCCAGGGGGTCAGTGTTGACATTGTGGAGGACTATAAATACCTTGGAGTACACATTGACAATAAACTGGACTGGGCTAAAAACACCACAGCACTTTACAGGAAGGGCCAGAGTCGTCTCTATTTTTTGAGGCGACTGAGGTCTGAGGTCCTTCAACATCTGCCAGAAAATGCTGAGGATTTTCTATGAGTCTGTGGTGGCCAGTGCGATCCTCTATGCTGTTGCATGCTGGGGGAGCAGGCTGAGGGTCGCAGATGCCAACAGACTCAATAAACTGATCCGTAAGGCCAGCAATGTTGTGGGGATGGAGCTGGACTCCCTCAAGGTGGTGTCGGAGAGGCGGATGCTGTCCAAGATAAAGACAATGTTGGATAACACCTCCCACCCACTCCATGACATGCTGGTCAGTCACAGGAGCTCGTTCAGTGAGAGACTGAGATTACCGAAAAGCACCACTGAACGACACAGGAAATCATTCCTGCCTGTGGCCATCTCCCTGTACAACACATCCACTTAACACACTGTTTGCTGCTACAGCTACACGTTTCTTTTCCAACTATTTATGAGTGACTTATGTATGTATATATATGTATATATTGTACTATTCTTAGTTAGCGTATTGTCTGTCTTGTCTTAATGTTGGTTTATAATGGAGCACTGTAACAAAAAATAATTTCCCCCAGGGATCAATAAAGTATTCTGATTCTGATTCTGATCCTGCTGTACCTCCAGGATGTCTGCATGGGTCTTCAGCATGCAGATCTTTGGACCGAGCGACTCGGCCAGCTGCAGCAGCTCCTCGCTGTTGGTTACATCAGCAGACACACAAAGGTTGGACTGCTTCTCCTCCATAATCTTCAGCAGCTTTGATGCTAGAAGGTAAATGTCTGCAGATAAAAGGAACAAATGAAGAAGGAACAGAAAATGAGAAACCAAAGAAAACACCACCAGTCTCTGTTTGAACTTTAAATAATTAAATTAGGACAGATGGTTTGAAAGAGGAGTGAAAGAAGCCATCTATGTCCACTGTGAGCGACCATCTTTGAACAGAGGCGGGGGTTTACGACACCAACTCTCTGCCATCTATAATCCAGTTTTGAGATCCCTTCCCAGACGCCTTAACGCCCACTCACATCCTAGGCCATCTGACCTCAGGAATTCGCATAATAAGGTGGGGCCAGGTTTCACAATCAACTCACCCAAAACTCTGACTGATTGGGACCCACACCCAGTTTCACACCTTGTCTCAGGCGATTAGAGGATCATCAGGGGGTCCTTTTGTCCCTCTGTGGGGGGTTACTCCCACTAGGTTTATATCTGGGACTCTCCACCATTTGACCTTAGAACTGAAGAAGCTTCTCGGATGAGAGGTGAAACGTCTTCAAGTAACTTAAAGAAGTCCAGACGCTTTTCTTTGCAAGCTCCTTTGGCTACGATGACCTGGATGACTGAGAACCTTCACAGACTTTAAATAATTAAAGTTTTAAAACTACATACTTCCTAACTCGGCTCTTTCTGAATAACTAAGCTCCAGCTTCTTACTGGCAGGAGAGTCGCTGCCATTCTTGGGGCTGAGAGAGAGTGAAGGTGACAGAGTTACTGTACTGATTTTTTGTTCCTGGATTGTGAAGCAACACAAATAAACACATGAGCCTTATCTTATCCTGAGTGACCTGAAGAGGAGCTGCAGAAAGCTGCTGATTCATATAAACATCATTGAGGCTTGAGTGAGTGATTAGCTGCTGACAGGTCCAGTCTGATCTGTTTGAACTGCCTTACGCTATGTGAAAGGAGGAGTTCCCTGAAACTCAACCATTAAGTCTGCTAAATTACTGTAAAACAAACCGCGAGTATTAATGTTACACAGGAGCTGACGAGTGCCTACACAGACACATTTGCCTTCAGAAAGTGCATCCAGCAGACGTTTCCTGTGTCCGGTATCGCTTTCAGCTGTTCTGAAGTCAGTATGTTGTGCAGTCATGAAGGCAGCACGTGGTTACCTGGTGCGTGAGCGCGGGGTGGGACACGAGCACCCTCAGGTGGATATAAATGGGTGCCAGCAGGCCGCTCTTCAGCTTGTATTCTCCGAACTTCACTCCGTTCACGTCGTGGAGCTTCAGGATTAAACTGTCAGTGGAAGCGCTACCTGGAAGCCTTGCGCCAAATGTTTCAGAATAAAAGCGTCAATGTATGTTTTGAGAGCATTTAATGTTTACAGATAAAACGTCGCGTAGGTCAGTGAGCATGTGTGATGAAGCCTGGTAGAAAGAGTTGTTGTTTGTGAAAGTTAAAATAAGCTGATGGCAGACATGTTTCATTAGCACCTCAACATAAAGAAGTGCTGAGGGGTGTTGGCAATGAATGTGAGACAGAGATCAGTGGATGAAACCATCAGAAGCTCATGTTCTGCAAAAAGAGAATACGTTTTTGTTTTCTGAAGCTATTCTGGACATTTTTAAAGTCTTCAGCATGAAGTTGTTGTTCATCGTACTGTGAGGTTACAGGCTAGACTGCTTAATAATGGCCTCCAAGTTTAACCTGACACTTTTATTCATATTTACTTCATATTTGTATTCTGTGTCTCCAAAGTCAGAATACAGTTACATTTTAGTGTCGCTGATTTGCAAAACAAAAGCTAAACTCGGTTCAGACGTGAGTTACAAGTTACAAAACAAGACCAACAGATCTCAAACTAAAACCCACGTTCTCAGTCTGTCCCAATAAGTAAACACAGTGAAGCTCTGCTGTAAGTCTTTCTGACTGAATAAAGTCATACAAAGACAAACTTGCATTATGCAGCATTTTATTCAGATTGCAACTAATCCATGTTCAGATGTTTTTACGTCTGTTCTACTGTATTCTACTGGTTACACTTTTATTTTTCTTGATAAGAACTGATTTATGCTGAGGTAAATCCTTATACTATTCAATGTGGAACAACAATATAACTCACTGATTTTCCATGTTGTTGTTGTAAACAACAGGAGGAGATTCATTGTCTGTGTTTTTGCCATGAGCGGCTGAGTCTTTGTGTGAATGCATGTATGCATCTTTTCAAGGAGCGTCAACAGCAGAGGGCCTCCTTCTTTGTTTTTTGGACCTTATTGTCTCTATTTTCTCTCTCACAGTGTCTCCTCTGCCTCAGGCCAACAGCCAGGTGTTGAAAATACCTGCAGTTAACAGAGACATGCGACTCTTGAGATGGCATTTCAGATAGAAACACTGCTGAGCCTGAAGTGTTTCTGTCTACAATCACCAGATTTCACAAGATACAAACACAGAAAGCTGTGTGTGCATCAATAAGAAGGCGTTACACAAAATAATAAATCTTCACCTTTATCATTTACAGCTTTCAGACTAAACTATAACTCTTTAAGTAACGGTGCACTCACTTCGTGGAACGCACTAAATTACTTTCACTTTGTTGTGGGTTAAACATAACCTAAGGTTTCTAACCAAGGTCCTAACACGATTTACAGTCCACAAGTAGAAGTCTGTGTAACTGTGTAAACAGTACACAATACAAGTAATGCAAGTAAACACTGACAGTAGGGCTGTACCACAGTTATGTCTAGTTGTAGAATGCAGCTTCCATATTTAACAAAGCCCCAATATTTCTTCTTATACTTCTTATAATATGTCTTCAGAGTAAAAGATCTCTCAGCAGAATTATGCAACATTTTAGGCACACTATTGCCCCTATCAACTCAGTGAGCTGGGATTGTTTATTCTAAACATGAACTACTGTTAAAGCAACACACATGGACTACTGGAGCCCCACACGACAACATCTATACTGTCCAGTCTCTCCTGGTGGACATGGCATCACGTTATTCATGGTTACAAACAATTTTAGACTGATGTGGGCCAAGCCCAGCACCTACTTGCCAACATTGAGACCTCAGGTGGAAGCTGCGCCCACCTGAGGACCCGCCCTTCGCGGTCTGAGTGGGCGGGTCATACGAAAGCCGGTTTGGCCGGAAGTGAGCGACTGTGACGATCCAGCCTTCAGAATTACGTCACGAGCTCTCTCGGTGGAGTGACACTGCCGTCTGCTCCTTTTTATCTAAAATATAACCGGACACTGGCGTAAATTCTCGACCGTCTCGTTCTTCTGTTTAATCAGTTTTCTGTTTGACGTTTATTCAGCTGTGTGAAAACCCCGGAGGAACCTCCCGAGGGATTAATAAAGTTTTATTTAATCTAATAACTTTAATCTCAGCCAAACCGATTTACTCACGAACAAATAAAACACTGAAAAAGGCCAAACAATAACATGTTTAAGTTATTTAAGTAACTTTAGCGAAAGACCGCGAGGGTTTGCTGCTCTCGCCGGAGCGCAGATATTTGAAGTTTACACAGCTACATTCTCGCCTGAAAAGACGCTAAAAGTTTATTTTGCGACCCAGAAAGAGAAATAAGAGCAATATTAAAACTAAGTAGCTGTAGTAATAGTAGCCATTGTTGGAAACTGGAATTGGCTGGGCCAATCTGGGATATGGTTTTTCAATTTTGTTGTCCAGGTGGGAAATCGGGAGAATGGTGGCTCCTGGAGAGGCACTGAAATTCGGGATTCCCACAGAAAAATCGGGAGATATGGGGAGAATGGTGGCTCCTGGAGAGGCACTGAAATTCGGGATTCCCACAGAAAAATCGGGAGTGTTGGCATGTATGGCCTAGCATAGCCTGTAACGTTATTATGACGGACACATTTTATGAGTGAACTTGACTTTAGGTGACTTACAGGTTTCTTTGAAAAACACTTTCTTATATCCAGGTTCTTCCTCTTTGCTGCCATCCTCCTCTCCTCCTCGCAGCGCAGGCTTGCCGCTGCTAAAACTAAACAGAGCTCCCTGAAAGGCACAGCCAATCACGTTGGCCATATTTGTCACATGACGTAGGACTCCAGTAGAGGACGTAATTTAACTCTTTCTGCACCGCTGGGTGAATGAGACGCTGACAGATCGGGGGTTTTTTTCTTTCTATCGGGTTAGTTTTTCTTTACTCGAAGACATCAAATTATTGGTGGGGACATGTCCCTTCCGTCCATGCCAAATCTACGCCTTTGTTCAGCAGGAAATACTTGAACCAACAGATTTTCCTCATCATCATTTCCCCATAACCCTTTAATGACTCTTGAGTACTTTTGAGATTTAATTTACAACAAAATTACACAATAAAAAACAATAAAACTGTCAATCGTGCATAGAAATTACTTTCCTGCACCGGATTGTATTTTCACATGAACCTCTATGAGGTCAGATGTAGAAGGGTTTAGGGCTACAGTGCAAATGTAAGATTGTTTGTTTCTGGGCGGGATTAAAGACAGAGAACAGAATCAGCATTGAAAATAGCTGCAAAATGTCATATTGGTGGGTTTTGTGTGGGTGTTTTGTTTTACTTAACTTTGCACATTAATAATCTAATTATTGGACTTGGACATGAGGTCAAGGACACCCTAAACCCAGGCACAATGTACATTTCAAATTCCTTTAATTTTAAATATGTTTATATTGTCTATTCTGTAAAATAGTCAGATGTCTTATTAATGTACAGAATTCACCTGCTTGCTGCTACTGCTGCACATTTACCCAATGTATATACTATATATATATATATATATAATGTTCTTCCTCCAACCCCCCCACACCCCCTCCCATTTTTGCACATGTCGAGGAGCGTGTCAGGTTACATTTCCCTGTGTGTTATACTTGTATAACTATGCATGTGACAAATAAAGAACCTTGAACCTTGAAGTTCTTTCTCTAATGGTGACCTGCTTTATTGTAGAGCTGTTTGCAGTAAAAGGTGAGCGGCAGCTAGTTATTTTGTTAATCCCTTGGATAACAGAGACAAAAAGGATGCAGCAAATGGATGATAGTGGAAGATGGATGCAGATTGTTTTTTCTCTGTGAGGACACATTTGAGAATCCCAGAGTTACTAAAACTGATTTAGAGCCACTTCAGTTTTCACAACAGTCAAAAACGTTTTCATCATTTCTCTGCAAAAGCTGCATTTAACCAAATCAAAAACAAAACCCACAATTTCATTGTGTGTAAAGAAAAACAAAACATGAGAATGTAGAACAATGAGAGCGACATGTTTAAGATGCAAGATGCAGCTCTTTCACTACTTTTAAGGAGAGGTTTACACTTTTTACTGAATTTATATTGATTTCTGCGTGTGTTGTTGCTGACTGTATCTATATGTGTCATTTTTTCTAACTGTGAGATACTTGCTGCAGGTCTCCCTTGAAAAATGTTTTTAATATCAGTGGGATCTTCCTGGTTAAATATAGATTTAATAAATAATAAAGAGACAGATGATTGAAGCCTGTAAGTATTTCTGTGCGTTTCTTTAAGGCATACAGAGCTTTTGGATCGTAGCAGAAAAAGTGGAATCAAAACATGTAAACAGTTTGTTCACAGTGGCTCACAGCACAGACACGTGGACATGAAGTCGTGTCATCGAGTCAGCTTTCCTTTCTGACTCGATGCAATAAAACATTTAAATACTTGTATTCATGAATCTCGTGATAATTTGGGGGTTTTCATGATTTCTTTGAACTTTTGCTTTTCCAGGGTGTAATTATTGCACTTCATACGTCTTCAATAAAGTATTTTCCACAGCAAACTGTGAATTGCTTGGAAATGGCAGTGTAGCCTTTCCACTTATTATGAGCCTCTACGATCTTCTTTCTGATTTCCTTTGTCTTTGGCGAGTAACAGTCGTCCCTGTCATGTGTTCGAGTGCCCTGTTCCTTGGAGTCTTTTTTATGCTGATTGGATGTTGTTAGGAAGCCAACTGACTTAAATTGAGGTGTGTTTTTAAAGGTGATTCATTACTGTAGGTGTGTTTTGAAAGCAAACATTCACATGGGGCTTTTTACTACATTTGGTACAAAGCAAGCCTACAAATGTATTTTATATTACAAAATGTACCAGAAGCTACTAAATAGCACCAGTGACTCTGATTATATCAAGTTTCATCAATACTGCATAAAATTGGGAAGAAGTTTAGGAAATTGTTCCATGTTTCCTGGGGGGCTAATAATTTTGGCCTCAACGGGATATTATGTGTCTGACAACTCTTTTAAAAAATAACAGTGTAAATTGTCATGTATTAGTGGGAAATGTGTTTTTGCATGAATGATTTTCTTTTCTTCTCTGCATGAAACAGTAAAGTCGCCTTGAGGCAAATCAAAACTGGTTTAACGAGAGCCAAATGGAGCAGAAACAAAATTCACCCGAAAACAAAAAAGCAGATTTGCTTCCCTGCTGTGAGGCTGCCATATATGGAGAGTCTTCTTGCTGCAGTTTCAGCCATTACCAAGCTGCTTCTCAGATTACACTTAGTCCCGCCCCCTCAGCACACAGCTTAAGCCACTGGTGAGGCAGCTTTTCAGCATGAAGGCGTTGCTTTCAGGCTTAACTGCCTGGTTTCCTAGGGAACCGTGCAGCAGACAGGCTGGGCGGAAAAGCGTTTCCGGGTCGGTTCAAACTTGGAGAGAGGAGCAGAGAGACAAAGAGGAGGTGATAGTGAGGTGGGGGAGGGAGAAGGCTCCGTGGAGAGGCAGTGGGGGGAGGCTGAGGTGCTGGCTCTACTCTCAGTGTGGGACCAGGGTGGACATCAGCACGTGGTAGAGAATAGAAGCACATTTGAGGGGATTTCAGAGCGTCTGAGGAGGCTCAGTGTTGTGCGCAGCTGGAAGGAGTCTCAGCTAATTCAGAAGCATGAGACTTCAGAGCAAGAGGCCTGATGCAGGCACGTCAGTGAACTACAGCCCAGGAGTGGAAGAAAGGCTGCTGGAAAGGCCACGGGAGGAAGGTGTGGATAATCAAAGAAGAATCTACCCAGTCCAGCAAGGTAACTGTGTTCAACACCAACTGTACTAACGACGATAACAACATGACTTTGTTCACTTGGGGGAAAAACAAAAACTAGCATCAAAGGATAAAGCTTGCTTGTGCTACAAACTCAGACAATTACATTAACCTCCTAAGACTGAACTCTTCCATGGCATGCATTTTTAATTTCTCTTTGATGTTTGGGCGGATTGGGACCTGTTGAATGTAAAAACAAAGAATTATCAGAATTATTTTTTCACCTGATTTTTGTTTCTAAGAAAAACGAGATCCACATATGAGGAGAAGAGTAGCAGTATAATGTCCTCGGAGGTGGATATCAGGCCCTTGTAGAGCAAAATTGAGTTTTGGTCTAAATGTGATGTCTCTATATGTGGATCCTAGGAGGTTAAAGTTTCTTTTATTTAAAAAAAAACAATCACCCTTTAGCCAAAAATGACAATGTCTTCATGTTTGCACAGGAATAAAGATTCAATTTCATTCAGCTGTTTCTGACTCTACGAATGTGGCTGAAGAGGGAATCCGCAACTGGACAGATGATGAAGTAAAAGCGCTGCTGTGCGTCTGGGCCGACCGCAACATTCAGGAACGTTTGAAAAGCACGCTGCGCAACAAATCCATATTCCAAGAGATGGCTCGGCAGATGCAAAGAAAATATGGGGTGATACGCGACTGGAGACAATGCCGTACAAAATACAAGAATTTGAAATATGACTATAAGATTGCTAAAAGTGCACACGCTGCAGGAGGCAGCAGTGCAGGAAGCCTGGGGAAGTACATGAAGTTTTTTGATGAAGTGGAAGCTATTTTACTGGACAAAGGACTGGAAAATGGGAGCATGGAGATGCAGAAGAGACTGTATGATGGTGAACTGAAAGCAGGGAGGCTACAAACGCCAGCAGGCCACACAGGGCAGATAACAGGCTCTGAGAGTGAGGTGGTCATCGACATGGATGATGGTAAGCATCACGTTTGCAAGCAGTTGTTTTAGATTCAAGACTCCATGAAAATAATTTTCTTATTTTTCCTTATTTAAGATGACAACAGTGATGATTGCAACATGGACGGAGAAACGGAAATAAAGAGAGAGAGAAGTACAGGTATGCCAACAAAGAAAAGAAAATCTGCCACCTGTGGAGTTTAGCTGCATATGTAAGCTTTTCCTTCCATATCTGTTCTTTTATTCCAGATGCCCATCGAGCACACACAGACTTCTGCTCTGACCAAGTGGTCATGGTGTCGGACGCTGGTCGCAACTGGAGCGACCAAGAGGTGCGAGCCCTGATCCAAGTCTGGGCCGATGAGCGCATATGCAGGAAGCTGGAGAGCTCAACCAGAAAGAGGGACATCTTTGTCCAGATCTCGAGGAGGTTACTGCAGCAAGGCATCGATCGTGACTGGAAACAGTGCCACACTAAGTACAGGAACCTCAAGTATCTCTACAGGTCCCTTCAAAGGGGCAAGACTGATGAAGCTGACCCGAGATGCCTCATGAGGTTCTACGAAGAAGTGGACTCCATTATGAATCGCGTGACTAACGACTACACAGAAGAAGATTCGGACAGACTTACAATATCTGACAACTGTGATGAGAAAAATAACGTGGACGGCAATTTGGCAAACATGAGGAGAGCTGTGGAGGACAAAACCTGCACCTCTGATTCTGACTTAACCATCGAGGCATCAAACACTTATGAGTCAGAGCGGCATAAAATCAAGGAGCATCGTTTGGATCAAGAACACACGTTGATGAGTGAGCTGATCATTTAATCATCATTATCATCAGTATGAATTAGATGAAAAGGTTACGCAATGGTCAGTTACCATGAGTAAGATAATCAAGCAGGAACAGCACGGACAGCCAAAAACAAAGGTTTTGGCTGTTTTTGTCCTTAAAATATTTCTCAAAATCTTATATCAACACAACATATTAGTTAGTATTTCAACTAAAACCATAAAATCTGCAGAGAAATTGTGGTTCAGTAAACTGACCCTTTAACACTGAATAGACTTGAAGGTAGAGGGAAATAAATATTATTTTCAAACTACAAACTTTCCGGTTAGTAAACAACTTGGTCCAACTTGAGCTGCAGCCACCCAGGAAGTGGTTTTGAGATGTGTTTTATTTAAAATGAGTCTCGTGGTGGTCGTAAGCCAGTCTTACTTTGTTTAATACCAAGAAAATGCTTTTCTTTTGCAGCAAAGAAGCATGTCTATATCTGTGTTTTAACTGCCTTAAATATATTTTTGCAGGTGCTTCTGAGAGTGAGGTCGATAAAGAGAATACTACTGCATCAAACAGAAGACTGAAGAGGAAAGCTGTGGATGAAGGTCTGAAATGTGTCTCCTTCTGAAATAATTAAATATGGATAAGAACACGGCTGTGAGCTAAAACAATGCACAACTCATGAAACCCTGTTAGGAGCTGACATGTTACACTAGTCGTACGTTAACCTTTGTCCTTCTTATTTCCAGACCCTGGACTGCACACATCACTGAAAAAGCTGAACCCTCTCGGCCCTGTTGCTGCTGACAGACTGCACACCCAGTGTAAAGAAGAGCAGGACCACATCCCCATATTAAAGATCAACTCAGTCTGTTCAGTGGCCTCCCCTGCTCCATCGCCACAGGTAACATACACTGATCTCACGTGACCATTACAAAACTGACGTATTCTCCGACATAATAAACGCTGGTGTGGGTTCTTTTAAAACTACCCCAACTACTTGATTAATCGAGTGACAGATTATTATATAATTATTTTTCAAATAAAAATGTCCCACATTAAAATTACATTTGTAAACTTTAACATGTTTAGGTTTCAGATTGTTTCAGATTGCAAAAACAAAGATGAATTGATTCATTCAAATATTGTAAAGCCTAAAGCTGCAGCTCTATGATGTATGTTGGGCTGACGTTTGTTAATCAAACCTGAGGAAAAGTTATGTCTTCAGTGTTATTCACTCATCCATGTTAGAAAGTTCCAGAGTTGGTTTTGTTCACCTGGTCACAGGATTTTAAATGGGAGAAATATTTCACTGCTTATCCAGGTGACTCCTTCAGTATCAGCTGATCACAACCTTAACAGTGCAGTACTTAAGCAGAACAGCTGCATAACAACTGAAACCAGCACCACTGACTAACAATGAGCCACCGATTCAGTTTCAGGATCGTCAGTATGCAAACTGGTACCACGAGTACCAATCGCATCACTGTGAGATGATGAGCAATCGTTCAGAGGTGTCATCGCCTTTTCACGTAACGGCTCCCCACTCAAACCATGATGTGCACTGTGAGAGTTGCCACTGGCCTGTAGGTGTAAACAGACCACCGCGTCTCAGCCTGATGAGCTAGCTCTTCTGCGCTGTGCAATCTGCTAACCTGTGGTTGTCTGGTTGACTTTCTGAATTCAATGTAATTGGAAAATAAAGAAAAATACATTAAACTGCAAGCTAGTTGAAGGAAACCAGGGTTTTGGTTCATGAAGACATTTCACCTCTCATGCACGATGGATCGTTGACCTGCCCGGTTTCTATGCAGGTTGTTAAGGGTCCCATCAGTTGAGCTGACGTGTGACTCAATGCATGGGTTATGTGGGTCACATGACCTGTGGTGTGATTCCTATGTGGGACAGCTTCATGAACCAAAAACAAAGTCTAGCTGCCGTCAATTTAATAACTTCAAACTAGCCTGGTCTCAACACCTGTATCTTATGTTTCATCAAAAATAAGAATGTGGCAATCATGTGACATCCTTACAGACAAGCTGCATGATAACATGTCGCTAACAACAGTGACACTTGAAAAGGCGATTTGTGTTTCCACTATTTTCTTCTTTAAAAAAGAAACAAGTGCTGCCTGCTAGGAAATCAAATCCGGCTTTTATGAGCGTAGACTAAAATGAAGCAATTCTTCTGTAAGTTCACTGGCGTGTTGTGTGATTTGTCTTTCAGGCCTGCTCAGGATCCACGAGCGCCATGGCCCCCGCCCCAGGTACTGCACGAGCCTTAATCCGCACTTTAGCGCTTCAGTTAGATGTGCATGGTTTAATTCTTTCCTTGTTTTCAGAGTTGAAAATCGGCCAGAAGCTCAATGAGGGCAAGACTAAACAGATTTTCGAGCTCGTGGACCAGCCGGGACTGGTTCTAGTCCAGTCTAAAGACCAGATCACTGCTGGGAACGCCGTGAGCAAAGATCAGATGGAGGGCAAAGCTGCCGTTGCCAACAAAACCACGAGCTGCGTGTTCCAGCTGCTGCAGGAGTCTGGTGAGGTTTTTATTTCTGCACAAGGTTTTGGGAACAACAGATTTCATCAAAGGTTGATTCAGTGACAGGAAACAAACAGCCTAAATCTCGTGCATGAACAGAAATGATAATCATGCAGTAATACTTCATGTATACAAATTCAATAAAATATCGTTTTTAATCTCAGATGTTGTCATTTGTCCGTGAGTTTGAGGTTGCTCGGATATCCACCCTTCTCTCCTCAGGCATTAAGACGGCCTTTGTTAAGCAGCACTCGGACACGGCGTTCATCGCTGCGCGCTGCGAGATGATACCCGTTGAGTGGGTGTGTCGCAGGGTGGCGACTGGATCTTTCCTCAAGAGGAATCCAGGAGTCAAAGAGGGCTACCGCTTTTCTCCTCTAAAGATGGAGATGTTCTTTAAAGTGAGTCTTGCTGCGTGCGGCGATTCTCTCCGTGTGTTTTCAGTCTGAGTGTTGTCGCAAACTCATCACTGATTGTGTTTTTAGGATGATGCCAACAATGATCCTCAGTGGTCAGAGGAGCAGCTGCTGGAGGCCAAACTGTGTCTGGCTGGGCTCACTATTGGTCAGTGTGAGGTGGACATAATGAGCCGCAGCACTCTGGCCATTTTTGAGATGGTGGAGAAGGCCTGGGCCACTCAGAACTGCTCCCTGGTGGACATGAAGGTAGGCTGTGCAGCAGCGCCCCCTGCTGGTTGAAGTCACATCTTGGTGCGATCACTTCTCTCCTGTAGCTGCAGCAGAACTACAACTAAGGACTTTTTCTTTGCTTCTAGATTGAATTTGGCGTCAGTGTGAAAAGTCGAGAGATTGTGCTCGCTGACGTGATTGACAACGATTCGTGGAGGCTTTGGCCAGCTGGAGATCGGAGCCAGCAAACAGACAAACAGGTGATGGACTGACTTTGATTTATTTTCATGCTGATATGAAAAAGAAACAAGCCTCAAACTTTTCTTTTCCCCTTTGTAGGTGTACAGAGAGCTGAAGGAAGTGACCCCAGAGGCAATGCAGATGGTGAAGAGGAGTTTTGAGTGGGTCTCTGAAAGGGTCAAGGTACAGCAAACAGATGCCTCTAATCTATTCTTGATCTTGTAGGAGTGTTTAGCTCTTTCTTTGCTTTGAACATCCAAACCAACAAACACTGTTTAACATCACAGAAGCCTGCAGCTGCTTTTGATGTAATTCAGGAAAAAACCAGCACAGCTGTACGATTTTTCTTTTGAGCAGGTAAAACTGACATAAAGTGATGATTCAATGGTTTCTGTGTGTCTACAGTTGCTGCTGGAGCCCCAGGCAAGCAGCAGGGTGGTGCTTTTAATGGGCTCCACCTCAGACGTGGCCCATTGTGAAAAGATAAGAAAGGCGTGCGCCTCCTACGGGATCCCCTGTGTCCTCAGAGTCACCTCGGCACACAAGGGTCCAGATGAGACGCTCCGCATTAAAGCTGAATATGAAGGTGAGCTTTAATATTGACGTAACTGCGTCTTTGTACTGATGTGGGATTCTTTCTAATCGGATCATTTTTTTATGCTGTGCTGCAGGTGATGGCATACCCACTGTGTTCGTGGCTGTGGCTGGGAGGAGTAACGGCCTCGGCCCAGTGATGTCTGGTAACACGGCTTACCCTGTGATCAGCTGTCCTCCTCTCACTCCAGACTGGGGACCACAAGATGTCTGGTCATCCCTCCGCACGCCAAGTGGTGAGCAGAGCTCTTTACTGTAGCGTGCAGCGTTAATCGTTCGTGCTGTTTTTGGATTTATTTATTTTTGTCCTGCAGGTCTTGGCTGCTCCACCGTGTTGTCTCCTGAAGCTTGTGCTCAGTTTGCAGCGCAGATCTTGGGGTTGAGGGACCACCTGGTGTGGTGCAAACTGAGGGCATCCATGCTCAACACCTGGGTGTCTCTCAAGCTGGCTGACAAGAAGTTACAGGCCTGCAGCCTCTGAAGAGCCCAGCGTGCATCACACTCAACAAAAGAGCTTTGGTCCATTTAGCACCCTTGAAGCGAACTGCAGGACTGAAAACGACACAATTCATTTATTGAGACCAAGTTTATAACATGGAACAGTTTCTAACAGATTTGTTGTAGTTACTCATTTTAATGGAATTTTATAGAACTTTTTAATTTGTTTATTTATTTTTGCATGCATGTTGTTGCTGCCTGTGTTTCATTGTATCATTTTTGTAACTAGCTGCTGCCTATCGTCAGGTCTCCCTAAAAAAAGGTTTTTGTTTCAGTGGGATCTACCTGGCTGAAAAAAAGTTCAATTACAAACATTGTTTACTATGAAAACCCATTAACTGTAGATGTTTGTCACACATATGATTGAAGCATGTATGTATTTGTATGCTTCTTAAGACACAGCTTTTGGATCACAGCAGAAAAAGTGGAATCGAAACATGTAAACAGTTTGTTCACGGTGGCTCAGCACAGACACGTGGACAGGAAGTTGTGTCATGGAGCTTTCTTTTCTGACTCGATGCAATAAAACATTTAAATACTCGTATTCATGAATCTCGTGATAATTTGGGGGTTTCTGTGATTTCTTGAATCTCACTCAGTGCACGTACTCATGAATACAGTCAAAACATCCTGTAAATATTAGTCTCAGACTGGAAGAGAGGTTGCTGAGAGATGTGAGGGAAAGAGAGATGGGAACATAGATTTCTTAAATTATGAATAAAATCAGTTTAATATCGCTCACGTTTATACACTGTTCTTTTTTTTTTTTTTTTTTTAAATCTTTTGATGCTCCCCTGATCTGCCTGGAAACAGTCACACTGAGTACAAGAACCTGAAGTTTCTCTACAGGTCCCCTCAAAGGGCAGGACTGACGAAGGTGACCTGACTCATGAAGTGGACTCCATGATGAATCACATGACTAACGACTCTGCCAGACACCGTTACAATATCAGTGATGATGTGTCTTTAAAATCAAATCTGTCTTTTATGTCTGATAAATATTATAAATATGTGTTTAACACTGTGTATCTAAACTAATTCAGCACCACAGGGCTAATTACAGAAACGTTACTACTTCAAACAAACTCCCTGATTGTCCCCCACTGTGCTCCATCTGGGTGTTTGTGCGCGAGTCATGCTGTGTTTGCCACATACACAGCATCTTTATCTTTAAGTGATTATATGACAGACCGGGTGGCCGAGAGGCTTTGTGTGGTGAGGAGACAATAGCTCTGTGAAAAATTGTTTGTTGCTTAATTTGTTTATGCTGCTCTAAGAATAAAATAACGCGTCTTTGACGAAGTCGTTCTAACTACTATGATTGATGCTTTGACAAAAGCTAATTTACTTTTTTGCTTTACTTGGGAATGAAAATTCATTTTTTGAGCTACAAAGTCCCAGAAATGTTATTACACCAAATAAATAATGCATCTTAAACTATAGTGGGCAGAAAGGCTGGATTAAAAGCTGCTTGGCAAGATGGCTGCGTCTACATCGGCTCACTTCTCACCCTGTTTGTCATGTGCTTCATGGTGTTGTGATGTGAAGCTGTGCTCTCTGCGTGCAGACGAGTCTTTTGTTTTCTGTTCTCATGCTGACCTCCCACAAGCAGCCCAGTATGAGCAGGGGGCCTCTTTCCCCCTCCTCCAGTTGCCCATTGAGCTGTGCATATCTTCCAGTTACTACCTGTCTCCCATGTGGTGTCTGTGCTGTGTATGTGTGGTCGGGATTTGCAAACTTGCATGTGACAAATGAAGGTTTCATTAAAAGTTTTAGGTCTAATCTTAAAGGTAGAGACAGTGTCTGTCTCCTGAATCCCAGCTGGTTCCACAGAAGACGGAACTGGAAGTACTGTGTTGTGACAACAAAGCACTATGAGATCTTTTAGAAGGTATTTATCCATCTGACCTGCAGCCGTACTGGCTTTATTTAAGGAACACTGATTATTTACATTTTTACAAAAATGACACCATTAAAACACAGGCAGCAACAACATGCATGCAAAAATAAATAAACAAATTAAAAAGTTCTATAAAATTCCATTAAAATGAGAAACTATAACAAATCTGTTAGAAACTGTTCCATGTTATAAACTTGGTCTCAATAAATGAATTGTGTCGTTTTCAGTCCTGCAGTTCGCTTCAAGGGTGCTAAATGGACCAAAGCTCTTTTGTTGAGTGTGATGCACGCTGGGCTCTTCAGAGGCTGCAGGCCTGTAACTTCTTGTCAGCCAGCTTGAGAGACACCCAGGTGTTGAGCATGGATGCCCTCAGTTTGCACCACACCAGGTGGTCCCTCAACCCCAAGATCTGCGCTGCAAACTGAGCACAAGCTTCAGGAGACAACACGGTGGAGCAGCCAAGACCTGCAGGACAAAAATAAATAAATCCAAAAACAGCACGAACGATTAACGCTGCACGCTACAGTAAAGAGCTCTGCTCACCACTTGGCATGCGGAGGGATGACCAGACATCTTGTGGTCCCCAGTCTGGAGTGAGAGGAGGGCAGCTGATCACAGGGTAAGCCGTGTTACCAGACATCACTGGGCCGAGGCCGTTACTCCTCCCAGCCACAGCCACGAACACAGTGGGTATGCCATCACCTGCAGCACAGCATAAAAAAATGATCCGATTAGAAAGAATCCCACATCAGTACAAAGACGCAGTTACGTCAACATTAAAGCTCACCTTCATATTCAGCTTTAATGCGGAGCGTCTCATCTGGACCCTTGTGTGCCGAGGTGACTCTGAGGACACAGGGGATCCTGTAGGAGGCGCACGCCTTTCTTATCTTTTCACAATGGGCCACGTCTGAGATGGAGCCCATTAAAAGCACCACCCTGCTGCTTGCCTGGGGCTCCAGCAGCAACTGTAGAAACACAGAAACCATTGAATCATCACTTTATGTCAAGTTTTACCTGCTCAAAAGAAAAATCGTGCAGCTGTGCTGGTTTTTTCCTGAATTACATCAAAAGCAGCTGCAGGCTTCTGTGATGTTAAACAGTGTTTGTTGGTTTGGATGTTCAAAGCAAAGAAAGAGCTAAACACTCCTACAAGATCAAGAATAGATTAGAGGCATCTGTTTGCTGTACCTTGACCCTTTCAGAGACCCACTCAAAACTCCTCTTCACCATCTGCATTGCCTCTGGGGTCACTTCCTTCAGCTCTCTGTACACCTACAAAGGGGAAAAGAAAAGTTTGAGGCTTGTTTCTTTTTCATATCAGCATGAAAATAAATCAAAGTCAGTCCATCACCTGTTTGTCTGTTTGCTGGCTCCGATCTCCAGCTGGCCAAAGCCTCCACGAATCGTTGTCAATCACGTCAGCGAGCACAATCTCTCGACTTTTCACACTGACGCCAAATTCAATCTATAAGCAAAGAAAAAGTCCTTACTTGTAGTTCTGCTGCAGCTACAGGAGAGAAGTGATCGCACCAAGATGTGACTTCAACCAGCAGGGGGCGCTGCTGCACAGCCTACCTTCATGTCCACCAGGGAGCAGTTCTGAGTGGCCCAGGCCTTCTCCACCATCTCAAAAATGGCCACAGTACTGCGGCTCATTATGTCCACCTCACACTGACCAATAGTGAGCCCAGCCAGACACAGTTTGGCCTCCAGCAGCTGCTCCTCTGACCACTGAGGATCATTGTTGGCATCATCCTAAAAACACAATCAGTGATGAGTTTGCGAAAACACTCAGACTGAAAACACACGGAGAGAATCGCCGCACGCAGCAAGACTCACTTTAAAGAACATCTCCATCTTTAGAGGAGAAAAGCGGTAGCCCAGAAGCAGACCTTAACGGAACAGCTGTCAAATTTGACGTGGGCGAAGATTGGAAAGTCGCAGCGGTGTGACTCGGAGGGACATAGAGAAAGTCCCAATAGTGAGCAGCTTCAGCTATCTAGAAGGTGCTCTCCCTCTACGACAGGAGACTAATGGAGATATACTGTGCGGCCGCAATGGGTGAGATAACAAATACTTTTCCCTTATTAGATGATTAAGATTGCAGAGAGACTGTGGAGAAATGCACCTTAAAGGAGCTAGCAGGGGCCCTTGCCCTCCAGTCAGGGGAGGTTTCCCCCTGTCTATGGGATATACGAGCCAGGGTCTGTTAGGACTGACCCCCACCTTGGAATCACATATTATTTTTGTTTTTTTGTCTTGTTTTGTTTTTTCTTTGTCCGATTCTGGACGATTGTGGTTGTTTATTATTTGGGTTGTTAAAGGGAGTTTACCAGTTGATAAATTAATTAAGTCTGGATATTTTATTTCGGATAAATGACTACTAGAGGAATTAAGGTTATATCTTTTAATGTGAATGGGCTCACGAATCCCATTAAACGAAGTCGAATCTTGAATAAAATGAAGGAAGATCGAGCGCAGATAGTATATTTACAAGAGACACACTTGAATAATAATGAACATGAAAAACTCAGGAGGATGGGTTTTACAAATATGTTCTCCTCAGCGTATGAATCAGGCCGCAGACGGGGCGTGGTAATCTTGATTTCCAGGGCACTGAACTTTGAAAAGTCATTTGAACTTAAAGATAAGGATGGGAGATTTATACTGGTACGGGGAACAGTTGATGGTAATCAGGTTACTCTAATGAATGTGTACGCCCCACCAGGAAGTGACCTAAGTTTTTTTAAGTACATTGTTAACATAATGGTGACAGAAACTCAAGGCCCTTTAATTTGCGGCGGTGATCTGAATATACGCCTACAACCGGACCTAGATAGCTCTAAAAGAAAGAAGCCGGGATCGAGTACATTATATAAAAGAATCTCAGCACTGTTCGATGAGGTGGGTTTAATTGATTTATGGAGAAATCGCTTTCCTACAAGGAGGGATTACTCTCATTTTTCAGCCCCACACTCACTTTACACGAGGATAGATTATTTTTTAATGTTTGGAAGAGATAGGGATAAAATCTTAACATGCGAGATGGGCTTGATAGATATAAGTGATCACGCACCGCTGTACCTAACGATTGATATGAATGTACACCCAAAAGTTTCAATTTGGAGATTGAATTCATCCCTGCTTAAAGATGTAGAATTTAGGAAAGTAATAAAGGCAGAGCTCAAAGATTACCTTGAAATTAATGATAATGGGGAGGTTTTACCCCCGATACTATGGGACGCATTAAAAGCTGTTATGAGGGGGAAGATTATAGCATTTGCCTCCTTCCAAAAAAAAGCAAGAGAGAAAAAAATGGAAGATTTACAAGCGATTCAAAAACAATTAGAAAGTGAGCACAAACATAAGCCTTCAGCGGGCACCTTGCAGAAACTAACAATGATTAGAAATGAAATAAATACGCAGAGTATACAGACGATAAAGAGAAAATTGTTATATTTGAAACAGAAACATTATGATGGAGGATCGCAATCAATGAAAATTTTAGCATGGAAACTTAAGAAGAAGATAGCGGAGAATACTGTAACTAAAATCAAACACCCAGAGACGGGGAATATAATGACTCATCCTTGCAAGATACAGAACGCCTTTGAATCATTTTATAAAACATTATATGCGGG